TGGCTTATGACTAGAGCCGATAGTTTGGGATAACAGCGCCTTCATACACTACCTGATGTGATGACACTCAGATGTCTCCTTTTATGAAGTTTTATTTGATTCACCTTTAGGTGTACCAGTGTATGGGTACAGTGAGTTGATTTACCCTGTTTCATTAAATCTAAGCTAAATATTTTTGTTCCACATTACCATCTTTGAAGTTAGGATGCAGCTTACAATTTGTGGCATGTCACAGTTTAATTTGCAGCATATCTCTTTATGGCACAAAAACTGATGGTAAACTTAGAGTTATTAGCATTTTAGATTCTGTGCAATATAGTTATCTCCTATTCTGGTGTTGACTTACCTCCAGGGCAAATTGGCACAGGGACCCATCCTTTCTTAGGAGGCACTCCTCATTTCAGCAAAACTTCATACTCAGAGGATTTTGCTGATGGTGAGGCCACTGAATAGAGTAGGTGCAGAAAATAGAGAGGATTCAAGAAGCCAAAGGGGAGGGGATGCAGGTCTGCCCAGTAGCAGAGGGCTGGGTGCCTACACAGGTCTTCAGGGGGTCTGTGCTGCAGAGGGGCTTTTCTCAGCCCCCAGCCAAAGCAGCTCCTTCTGCCTGCCCTCAAGAGAGTTCAGGTCCTTATGCCTTAGTGTTTGGTTTTCACCACAGATTTACACGGTCTTCTCTGAAATTTAGTTTCTCTGAAGGCTTATTACTCTATTTTAGCACCAAGGACCTAGGACAGGCAGGCTTTGTTTCCTAGTCCTGATTTCTTAAGGTAAAGTGTTTTCTCCAAAGTTACCCAGATAGTAGTATCACCTTCCAGAGAGACTGCTGACCTGCAGAAGTAGGAGCTATTGGGCGTGCGGCAGGCAGGGAGTAGATTTCAGAATGCACAGCTGCAGAATCCAGACCTGGGGTGAATGCCCAGGACCATGCCCTTTCCTTGGGGCGCCTGGGTTTTCTCCCATGATCTCCTCCGTTTGCCTCACTGGCACCTGCCCTCATTACGGTATCTCTCTCTTCATCGTCTGAAGGAGGAAACCCTGATACAGCCTGGACATAAGGAAACGAGTGGATTACACTTAAGTGGGGAGATGGGAGCTGCCTGCGGGCTGCTGGTCTTGCCGCCCTGTGGCATTGGTGTTACACGCTGACGCCCTGTTTATGTCCCCACCTCAGTGCTGTTCCCTCGCCACACCAACGCCAGTGCTCGAGACAACACCATCAACCTGATCCACACGTTCCGGGACTACCTGCACTACCACATCAAGTGCTCTAAGGTGAGCGCCGCAGCGTCTTGGGCCTGTGCTCCGGGCCTCCCTCTCCACCAGAGCTGCTAACATACAGTCTTCCTGTAGCCCAGACTGTTGCTGTGAACTCGCAGTAGGTGGTTCTAGAGGTTTCAAGAAATGATCTCTTCACCTCCCCACCACCACCACCACCACCACTCCCCACAGAGAGATGAATGTAATCGTCTCCAGAAAGGGTCACACACACACACACACCCCTGCTTCCCCATGAGGCCCTGTGTCAGTCCCAGGGTGTATGTTCCCACACCTTCCCAGTGACTTCTAATGACAGCAAAGCTGGCTTTGTAGAATGTGACTCTGCTTCAGCACTTGTCGTGTTTGCCCACAGGCCTATATTCACACACGTATGCGGGCAAAAACATCCGACTTCCTCAAGGTGCTGAACCGTGCACGCCCAGATGCCGAGAAGAAAGAAATGAAAACAATCACGTGAGTAGGGCAGTCCCACCTTCCTCTCCTGAGCTCACCAAGTAGGAAATAGCAGGTGTTTGTGGCCCGGCCCTCCAGGTGTCTGAGCAGTAGCTGTATGTGAGGCAGCAGGGTAAGCCTGTGCCTACCCTGACAGACTAAAGATGGGATGAACAGGTTTTCACTGCTGAATGGGCGGGGCTGGATTTCCTTGTTTCCCTGAATGGCAGCTAGGAAAAAAACAAAGGGACCTTTCTACCTAGATAAACTGTGTTCTCTTTGGGCCTGAGTTGAGATTAGTCTTATCCTTTTCAAGGTCTTCCTGGAGAAACGGAGTAATTTGCTTAACGATAGTTGAGTAAATAGGCCTGGAAACCCCCTTCCCCCGGGGTTCTTTTTCCTGGTCTGCTCCTCAGCAGGGATTTTGCATGGAAAGGAAGTTGTCTTGATCAGGGATGGAAATGATGAGCGTGTGGCCCTGAGGGCCTAGAGCCTAGGGGTTTAGGTCTGCAAGGCTCCGGATCTTGGTTCCCCTCCTGCTTTAGTTGACACCATCCTCTTCTCAAGGTAATCGGTGTTTATTTGCCATCTTTTGTGCCTGCTGAATTCAAGTCTTGAGGTGAACTTAGCCCCACCCCTGTACCCCTCACAGCCAGTGTATTTGACAACACCTGGCACTCTTGCAGGTAACCTTTGGCTGGTATGTGCATAAAGCTTCAAGCTCCCTCCCCTGGCATTGAGAGGCCTCTTCTACTGCCACTTGACTGGATGAGAGAGATGGCTGACTCTTGTGTACCTGAGCATAGGATTTTCAGCCTCCAAAACATAAGACATTGATACAGAACAGTTAAAGTCACCCCCGACTTCCTCAGGCAAAAACTTCAGAAGACTGCCCATCTCATTAGGAAATTAGTACCAAAGGCCTTGTTCTGTAGTAGCTCTGTGCCTACTGCCCAGAGCCTAAGGAGTGGTGTGCAGCCGTTAGCTAGATTCTCTGCTTAGACAGAGTTGTCCAGATGCCAGGCAACAAAACGGCAGCAACGTTCCCTCTGCTCTGCAGCTTCATGGACTGTCCTAAAACGGGGGAAAACCAGTAGTGGTGGGAAACAGGAGAGTGCCTGTGTGCGGAGCCACAGTTCTTGCCCTTCCAGAACCTTGCCTCTGTCCTGGACTTCACAGGTTCCCCTTTTCCTGCTTGATTTCCACAGCAGTGCCTTTCTCACCAGGCACCTCCTTGGTGACCTTGAGTGTGACGCAACCAATTATGTGCCACTTTCAGGGCCCAGTGGAGAGAAGGCAGTTCAGTAGAGGCTGGGAGGTAAACCAGCAGCTAGGGACAGCAGAAGGACGCTTGATCTGGCCAGCCTGTCACCCAAACACTCAGCATCGTAAATAGATAGACATGGGGCTGCTTGCATCACCGTAGTCCCCTAACTGCTTGTCCGTTCAGGAGGCAAGCCCACCAGGCAGCCACTGCCCAGCGTCTCCCCATAGGCTTTCTCCCCCCATCCCCA